ATAGGATCTGTAAATACAAAACTAATCTAGTGAATGATTGTTTGTTTGTAATTAAGCACAAAGCTACACAATGGGCTATCTGTGCTCTGCCCACCACGGATATTGAAACTCGGATTCTAGCGTTGGAAGTCCGCAGACATACCGCTGTGCCACTGGGGGCCCTAGTGAATGCAAAATGGTACACTATACATGTTCACTGCAGACTCTATGCTGAGGTTTATTTCAAGTTTCATTCTATTATTACATGTTTTAAATTTCAGAAACAATAATCATTTTTATATCCGTAAGACGAAAAATGTTAACAAAGCATAACAACTTAACTTTTGCAACAGCTCCAACAGTCAGCTGTGGTCATGAGCTACTCTACTGTGCTAAGTTTATCTTTCAATTCATCTTTTTCCAGTGCGAATTTATCGTTAATTGCGTATGTTAGATCTTTCTTACCAAAAACTTTTATTTGGCTGTAATAACTGAATAAGATTTTTCAAAGCTTGTAATTCAACAAATCTGAAAGGAAACATTTCCTCAATGACCAAATCAGTTACGAGTGTATTTATTTTACATTGGCTATCCTCCCGGCACTAACAGCATCATCTCCAAGAGTTGGTTGTTGAAAAGAAAAAATAATGTCAAAGTGCAAGCACAAAGAAATACTATCCAGCAATAAAACGTCATGCGGCCTGTTAACCGTTTATATACTAGCGGTGTGTTTCTCGTGGGTTCTAAAACTATCGATAAAACTCTCACGTCGCGATTGGTCTAGAGAAATCTATAGCCAGTTTTTGTCAACATTTTAAGCATAACAAAATGTGACCCGATTTCATTGAAAATGATTAAATTATGTAAACGTACATATGACGTTTTGTGAAACACCTGTACACGATGGAGAAAAATGGATATCATTTTCTGATTCAGCGTGTAGGAATTACCATAGAACATGTAAAAATGTCGAGACAATAAAACCATCGCAGGCCCGTGTTATCAAAGATGTCCAGATATGCTTATTATGATACATATATATATAGATATAACGTATTGATATTTATCTTTAAAATAGTATTTTTTTTGACATTATACGGGAAGAATTGGTAAACTTGGAGCTCGAATCGTCCTATAAAAACCTCAAAACGAACCATAAAAAAGTCTGGAGAATCATTGTAGTTGTGTTTGAAGCTTACAAAAGGTTTCCTGCAAGTATTCTGTTCATACTGAGTTAATATACAGATCATTTCACTGGAGTACTCAAGAAGACGTCCATTAATTTATCAAGGAAGTTCTCACAACTATATTCAAAACTTTAGCCAACTCAACATATCGGGATTTAGGTCTTGTATACCTGGGAGGGTCAGGTTCTTTTGGGACCTCTTCCTCCCTCCTGTACTATTGTAAATTTATATTCTTGTTAGTTATTTAGTTTTACTACTTCGATGATGAGGAACATACTTTGAGACTAATAATGGCTGGAGACGGCTTGAATGGGTAATGAAGAAAAACTTTAATATAAG